AAAACTCTTTTTTTACCCCTAAGGCACTTCTGAAACGCTTTATCAGTTTCGGCATTTTTCATACTTCAAAACTGGGGTCTTTTAGCCTATACTGTTTCTGCCCGAAATCATAATACTCAAACTATGAACAATGCTCAGTCATTTGAAAGTTAATTTACATACGACTACAGAATACACTTTGAACAGCCATTCACTTCGTAAATGATGCGGTGTTATAATATTTTGGGCGGAATAGGCATAAAGCTTCGGGAAATATTGCTAGCTCTCACATAACTTGAATGAGCTTTGTATAAGAAGAAAAATGGGAACAATCACCTCTAAAACAACCGCATATGTAAGACGCTCGCCACATTCTGAATTCTGTTTTACTCGAAAAAAATCTTAGTAAACGGTTTCCTCCCCAAATTGATTGAGGTGGAGAACTTTTACTGGGGTCCTCCAAGTAAACTTCCTAAATAATGTGCAGTCAGAAAATCGATCTACAAAAGGCCGTCAGTAAATCAGCCGTTTTTTTTCTTTTCTTAAGAAATTCAAAGTGCCTTTGTGAACACTTAGTTAAAATCACCAATTATTTAAGTTCACTCTTCAGTGATTTTTATGGTTTACAAAGAGGATCTCGGAACAAAAAAGACAAAACATGACCAATTTTGAGATCAAAATTTTAGCTGACGGATTTTTAGATAAATTTTTGGACTATATCTTAATTAGGTTACATACTTTTAGGACATCAGTATACGTTCTCCCCCTCAACAAAAAAAATGATCTGAAAAGATTCATTGTGTTTACTGCTTTTATTTTGAGACTATACCTCGGCTTTGTCCCGCTCTGGGGTTAAATCATCACATTGTGACATTTCCTGTTTCCTTCTTTGTTCAAATTTCATATCCTGACTAGACATCTCAGTCCTATTTCAGAAGCTTCATGGCCATTTTGATCAACACTGCAGCTTCTTCTTCCCACTTTGATCAGAGGAAAAAGAAGAAACAGATATTTAGCAGTACATGTAGACCAATTTGGAAAAGAGGATTGAATATTTGCAGTAAAAGTTGTTTAGGGCTCTTTTAATAGCTCCAGGAAAATTTCATCAAATGAATTGATATTTCAACGAATTGTTTTTTTTCTCAATGACTCTAAATATCTTAGAGTCTACCGTAAAATTTGGAGGGTTTAATCTGGACAAACTTTTAAAGAAAACAATTTGAAACAAAAAAGAAATTTGATGCTCTTTAAGATTGCATTTTGAAGATATCAGGGCTGAAAACGTGTTCACCAAATTCGACATTGACTTTATTTTGACTCCTACTCTCATATAAACTCATAGGAAATCATTTTAACTTTTCTACCCTTTTTTGAATTTATTTAGCTTCAGCGAGTTGACGTTGTAGCATTAAGTGTACATGTCAACACGTATACTTCTTCAGTTTTTTTTCCAATCGAGCTCTGATTTGAAAAAGTTAATACCAAAGAAGAAAATTTTTTTGAACTAAATTATCAAAAAGTGTAGGTAATGTGATTAGGCTGCAGGAAAGGGGCTTAATTAATGAAAAATGACTCGTTTTCTTTTAAAAGCGCTCTTTTATCTCTAATCAGCTTTTTCAAAAAACCTCATTAATGGCCCCAGCTTAGATAAAATAGCAAAGCAATGATGTGTGTTAGTTTTTCAACCCCAGAAATGCATTTAGTAACCGATGTACTTACTTTTTTCTGGAGTACATCGTTAGCTTACTTTTTCTTCAAAATTGGCACAATACTCAGAGGGCAAAAAACGAAAAAGATTATAAAAAAATTATTTATCCTACTCCTACGACAAATGTATCGCATTTTAATCATCTCAAAGGGGTCAAATTGGCCATTTGGAACAAAAAAAGTCAGTAATAAGGCTAATTGATTTCAAGTTCAATTAACATTTGAAATTTTAAGTTTTGTCTGAAAATACCCGGAGCAAAAAAAAATCTGTCTTTTTCCATGAAAGAAGCTAGAAAAATAAAATGATTCTTTCTATTGAACTTAATTGTTACTTAATTTTTTTTAGATCTCACGAAAGGAAAACTGTAAAATTATGTATGTTATTAAGATGCTAGTTTACAAGAATATAATAACTCTTCAATAGCGCTACAAAACATTTTCAGAAACAAAATTATACGATGAACTAAAAAAACATGAAGCAATCATATTTGAATCCATAACAAGACAAGACGGCTCGTATCAAGGCAAAGCCGTGAATTTTCCGACTGCCTTTTAACTGCTCCCGAATAGTATTTGGTAAGTTAATCATAGGCAAAACTATATAGGCTGAAAAAGTCAATCTTTAAGAGTTAAAAATTGAGTCGTGCAAGGAATAAAAAAAAAACAATAAGCTGCCTCAATAGAAATTGGAACAATTTTGAAGTGCGTCACGTGTGAAATGTAAAACCAGCAGTCCTATTAGACCAGTTATTGTGAAATTTCTCAAGCAACCCGAAAATAAAACGTTTTAAGGCTAGATTAACTTCTATTACAAGCGCACCAAAAAACAATAATGACGAAATTGAAATTTAATTGTGAATCGCCAGACTTAATTCAAACAAAGTGTAACGAGGGGCAAGGAAAAGATAAATTGCGAAATCTGTATCACTACAAAAGAAACTGAGAACACTTCTGCTTTCTTTTCTGATGTCAATCGAAACAAACAAACTCCTCTACTAAATTGGCGTGAGACCAAACAATTACAACAACAAACTTCCGCTATTAAATAACTCTCCTTTTCTAAAATATCACTTTTTTCAAAAAATTCAATAAGATTGCCAGCAAATTTTTGAATCAGTTTCTACACAGTAAAAAAAAACAATTTTGAATTTTTTTTTATATTGATGCATGTAAAAATTTTTAGATTGTGGTAATAATGTATGCATTTCAAACAAAAATGTCCAAAAAAATTGAGTTTTATCTTTTAGTTATACATAATTAGTGGTTAATAATTATAATAAAAAAAGTTGTGGTAAAAAACTTACACTGTATAGTTCCTGTGTTTCACGATAAACTCATGTAGCAATACAAGTGTTTGGCATAAAGTTTTCCGCCATTGTAGTTCAGCGAATAAATTTTACTCGTTTTAAGAAAATCTTAACTATAAAAATGAAAAAAAATGAAACTTTTTAATTTAAAAATTTCCCATTTTAAAACTTTCTTGTAAGAAAAGTTACTGATAAAAAGTCCCTATTTTGTAACATCTTTAAAAATTAATTTCTCCAGATATTTCACCTGTGATCATTTTTTGTAAAGTTATGAGGGTTTAAAGGTTGCCATTTTGACCAATTTGGGACAATTAACGCGCGATATAATTCGCGCTATTAACGCGTAGGCGGAGATTTAATCCGTCTTATAAATCGTTCCAAATTGGTTGAACGAAGCTTATTTGCCATAATTGATTTGTTAAAAGGAACGAAATCTATCTTTTTATACTGTATATGGCGTGTGGGGTGATGATTTTAAAAAAAAAATTCAAATTTCTGAAAAAAATTTTTCATTTTATTTTATTTCATTTAATTTTTTTTATGTTATAACTGCTGCTCCGTAAGCCTTAAAAGGCAGTCGGACTATTCAAGGCTTCGTCCTGATACGAGCAGTCTTGTTGTTCCGACTTTCGATACGAAAGTAACGGAATATTTGTGCTCGGGGTGGGTTTTTTTTTTCTTCAGACAAATTTCGACTTTTTAACTAGCCATTTTTGACGGAATTTTTTTAATATCATTCGAAAGCCATTGTTATCCTGAGCTTAAATTTGAAAAGATATTTTTCCTGTGATCATTTTTCGCAAAGTTATGAGGGTTTAAAGATTGCCATTTTGGCCATTTTGACCAATTTGGGACAATTAACGCGCGATATAATTCGCGCTATTAACGCGTAAGCGGAGATTTAATCCGTCTTATAAATCGTTCCAAATTGGTTGAACGAAGCTTATTTGCCATAATTGATTTGTTACAAGGAACGAAGTCTATCTTTTTGTACTTTATATGGCGTGTGGGGTGATGACTTTCATAAAAATTTTCAATTTTTAGAAAAAAAAATTTTCATTTTGTTTTATTTCATTTAAATTTTTATGTATTTACTGCTGCTCCATAAACCTTAAAAGGCAGTCGGAACATTCAGGGCTTCGCCTTGATACGAGCAGTCTTGTTCAATTTGTTTTTGAAAAATGAACAAAAAATTCCCAGTTTTGTGACAGTCAGCGTTTGGGGTAAAACCAAGTTTTTTTGTATTTTTAAAATAAAAATGTAATTCAGAAATTTCAGTACAAGATCATTTCAATTTCTCCATGAAACTCTTAGAATTAGATTTTGGTGCATTGGTTGACTCTGTCCAAAATTGTAATCGATTTTTCGCGAGAGAAGTTGATTCTGAAAAACAATGCAAATATTTGAAATTTTAGGCCGGCCAAATTTGTTTCATGAGCTATCCCAAAACTTCACCAGTTTATTTTGTAGTTTCAACTTCACTTTTTCATTTTTTGGTGCTGGAGGCATTTATTGATTTTGAAAAACAGCTCAATATATTGGATTTAGTTTCCTTTAATAGCCATTATTAAATTTCAATTTTTTGTAGTACTTGTTGACTTTTTTATTTATATATTAGAAAAAAATCATTTACCTAGGTCCGCCTAAGCAATAAAAAAAACTGTCCACTTGACAGTTTTCGGCAGTTTTTGTTCAAATAATTGCAATTTAACAAATAGACCAATAATTGTAATTTTTGATTTGTGCCACCCACCTGAAAATTTGTCTACATTGCCGCTCGCCCAAGGCGCCTGTAGAATAAATCAAGGCTGGTTGAACAAAATATATACAAAAAAAGTAGGAAAAACTTTGAATGATAGCCTCGAATTATGTAAAGTCACCAAATAGGTAAATGTGAATAGCTCGTATGCTGGTTTTGCTAGTATGGTGCAAAAAGTTCTTATTAAAAACCAATCACCGGATAGTGCTTTTAATTTGCATAGTAATTTGTATTCCTGCTTGTTACAGGAACCTCGTTGATCTACACATCACTGCTGTTTCTCGGTACTAACTTCGACACCGAGGCCAAAACGTGCGACCTCACACTTTTGGGGTTGAACCGAACAGTCTCGGCTTTCATCTTCGTCATAATGTTCTACCTGGTTCCTCTATCTGCTATGGTTATACTGTACCCTATGATCGCAAAAAGTCTCCTCACAAACCGAATTCCCCTTCCCGCCTACCGGGTGGCAATAAACAAACGAATATCAACGCTTCTGATGATCTCGACTGCTGCTTTTGCGTTGCTATGGGCACCTCTTATGATACCTTCGTTATGGCAAGCAATTGACACCGACTCCTTCGACCAATTCAGTATCAAAAACCCTTTTATTTTCAAAGTATACGCCGTATGCAACCTTAGCATTCTCTTATACTCGGTTGTGAATCCTTGTATTTTTGCAATGATTACTCGCCCGATACGAGAGCCACTGCTAAACGAGGCTGTCGACTTGATAGCTAGACGAACGAGTCACCGGGCGAAGTCGAAGTCGGGTTCGCACTGTGACCCGAATAACATCAGCTTGCAACCCGATTCTCCGCCGAATAACGGGTACAGACAATCGTCGGTATAATGACAACAACGGATAACCCAATCCGACCTTTTTGGAGATCAATTTTGTCAATATTACAATTTTTTAATGGATTTCGAGACCATAATTGTTTTATGCTTCAATTTCGGCGTATCTACGGCAGATGATGACAGCATGAAAGAGACTTTCATAAAAGATAAAAAGAACACAGATGTTTACGGGTTTTATGTTTTTAATTGTATATTGTTTTACTTTCATTCCTCTCCAATTTTGAAGAGCTGATCAAACCGCACCTCCCTCAAAACTACCTTTATCCATCAATAACGACGGCAATCACATCTTGTAATACTAAGCGTTAAAGCAGGTGCAAGAATATAAACCTATTATAACCTCCTAAAACTCCTTTTAATCTCCACTAAGATAGTCATTAAGCAAAAAGGTTTAGAGTAAAAATGCCGAATTACAAGAGTGCCGACCGAAAACAAAAAAAAATGCTCAAGAGTGCCTGAAGTTATTTTCAAAACCATCTTATCGTATATAACGGGCACAACAGCTAAACAATTTGTTCAAAACAAAGGCGAAAAAAGCAAAAAAGTTCAAATGATATAAGTATTTTTGGAATGGCACCGCGAGACATCGCAAGAAAAATTACTCGTAACAAAAGACACCATACAATTTTGTAAGCAACCAATTAAGCCTCAAATCAGCAAAACAATTTCAATGGGTTTGTGCGTTTGTTATCATAGAAGTAAACCCTATTTAATTTTATCAGAAAATTGAAAATGAGCTAAGTAGAACCCTAAACCAAAAATGTTTGGCACTTATCACATCGGCACTCTTGAAAATTGAAGCAAAATCAACTTGAATTGATATAATGTTTTTTGGATTCAATGGAATCTAGAAAATCACGCGAAGGCAGCTATACATACTTGAAATGTTGACGTTAATGAAATTTAACCTGTTGACGCTATGCTTGCATCCGGAGATTTCCGAAGACACCCTTGATGATCTGTAAAAAGGTTCCAATTTGCTAGTCTCGTCCAAAAGACTAGAACTGGTCAGCAACAAAAGTCAAGTTTGAAAAAGTTTATTTTCTAAAATCATAAAAACTCCTGCAAAACCCAAAAAAAAACAGTGTCAGTCTTAATGGAAAGTCAGGTTTTGTCAGGACTTTTTTGCTGAGTTTTTCTACCCATTAGATATAGTTATTAAGACCATATTTTAAAATAAATAGAAGATCAGTTTTGGGCCATATAAGAGAAAATGTTGAAGTCAAAACTAAGGTGTCATGATTGAAGGCTAGAAGGTTGCATTGTTTTTGGAATCTATTGAGTTGAAGTCCTTAGGTGCACATTCAAGAACAAAACACTCGAAAAAAATGGAGTCTTTTTGTATCATTGTCTAATGTTTATATTTGTTTTAGAGTTTGTAAAATAAATTTTAAAAGCTTCATATCAAGGTTCATACGAATAATTCATGTTAGACAATTTGCTAAGTAATGCAAAGAATTTCATCACAAATTTTTAATTTTCTAATTTTCATTAAAACAAAAAAATTCCGAGACACAAAATTATGCAGTTTGAAATAGCTAATGGAAAGTAACTCTGTTTTATCTATATTGATTAATTTATAGAGTTTGATTTGGTTGCTTAAATGAAACATCATTTTGCTTTATAAGTATATCAAGTTTATTGTTTATTTTTTTGTTACTTTGTATCATAAAATGTCAAAAAAACCGTGTGTATAGTTTTTTTTGTCTCAGCAGTTTGTTCATTGATTCTTGCATTTTTTTTCCAATCCTGCAAAGTTTTGCGAAGACTGAATGCATTTTTGCGGTGATCTGAAATTCTTCTTAAATACTTTTAAACTTGCGCTATGCTTGTTTACAGCTTTAGAGTTTTATCCAGTTCAGAACGCATTGCTAATCCAAAAACTATATATTCAAAAAACTGAAAATAGAAAGTAATCAAAAATCTATTTATTAGCTGAAGCGATTGCATACCTAAACAACTATATACTGTTGCTGTGCAAGTAGAACAGAGTGTTTCGGCCATTTTCATGAAAAACTGCGAAAAAAGAATATGCAACCCGCAAATAAGTGTCTAATTTTGTCCGTGGCGTCATTGAGAGTCATTGAAGAAAAACATAAAAATTAGGTGTTTTTGATGGCTAGAATAAATTTCGCATCATCGAACTTTATGTTTCTTTGAAAGATGACTAGACAAACAAAAAACATCAAAAAAATCAGAAAAAAATGTCCCAGGTTTTTCGTAACGTTTTTGTTTGCAGTGCATGGATAAAAAACTCAAAGCCTATTTTACAGGGGTAAAACTAAGTTTTCGGGTTTTTTTAAATTTCACAGTAATATCCTCTTTATATGAGACTATCTTTCCAAGAATTTTTCAATTTTTTTATTCAAATCACTACTGAAAAAGACTTTAATATGATAAAAGAAAAGTTTTCACAACGGTTGTTTGTGGTACATGATTTACCGTAGAAAAAATATATATCACCTGAAGATAAAGTTCTTCCCCATTTTCAAAGGTACGAACAACAGTCGTAGCTTGACGGTTTGCCACAAGGAAACTTGCTGTTGGCTACAGTTACAATTGTTTGGATCATTCAAAAAGGGAACAACCAAAAATATTTAATTTTATTTTTTTATTTTTCTTAAGGTGAAGAAATTACACGCCAATTTTTGAAGATTTTACAATTTTTAAAAATAAAAAAGACAAGCTGTTTGTTATGTCCCTTCTTATTTCATTGAGCTGTGCTTCAGCTGAGTTCAAAACAAAACTGCTCATCTCAAGGCGGCGCCCTGAATTTTCCAACTGCCAAATAGCGTCTATGAAGTTGTGTTCAAGTTTGAAAAGCTGAAATCTTTAAAGAAGAAATAGAATTTTTGTTATATCACACGGTTTTCTTCACAGTTTAAACTGATTCATTTTGTTATAGTTTTATATTAAATAGAGTAACTACCATGCTCCAATTCAATATTGAAAAATTTTTGAGCCAGATTGAATCGAGGCTCAAGCGTTAATAGCAAGAAGTACACCGCGCTGTAATAATTACCAAATTAACAATTTCAAAATCCTCAACTTTCTCCGATGGAAATGGTCACAGGTAAAACATTTTCCCAATTTGAGCTCAAGGCATTCATATCTCTAAAAAAAGCTTTCGTCAAAAATGGCTTGTTAAAAAATCAAATTTTGTCTGAATAAAAAACTCTCTCGAGCAGCCCCGCACATTAATCTAACTAATTTTCATTTTGAAATTTTGACAACAAATTGCTCTTCCGCATGTTTCCAAGACCAATATCATTTTTTTTCTGAGATAAAAGATATATTTGATTTCACAGATAAATTTAGACTCACTAAACAATTTGAATCTAAGCTAACAACATCAGCAGCTATGCATTAATTACAATTTCTCAAACTTCAGCAAAACTTAAAAAAAAGAGAAAAAGTTTTAAAAGATCGCCAGCTGTAACAATTACACATCCAATAGAATAATAAAGTAATGGAATAAAAAATTATAAAAGTATTTTGACCTCGAGAGGTTTTTTGAAGTAAGTTTTTAAGAGTAGGCTGATCTCGAATTCAAGGCCAACCATGTATATTAGAAAAAAAAAGAAATCTATATTTTCAATCCTCCTTTTTGCACTTTTTTCTTACTTGGGCCGAAAATTAAGAAAATGATTTGTAGTTTGAACACTTTGCGGTTTTGAAAATAACTGCATAGTCATCAAACATAAAATTTTTACAATGTGAAAAGTTTTATTTAGATTTTTTCAGACTAAAAAAGACAAGTACTCTATGTTGTATAAATAGTAAAATTTACTTGCCCGCATTTAAGAAAAGTAAAAACAAATCGCTTATAATGCAATTTCGTGGTCTATAATGTTGTAAATATAATCGATTCCCATGTTACGTCCAGGCAACAAAATTGGACTAAAAATGGATTTAAATTCATTTTTTCTCGCCAAAACAAAATGCATTATAATTCATTTGAATCCATTATAATGGATTTTATAATAAGTAGGAAATCAAAATAAAATGGATTTTTTTTCCACTTTATTTTTGTTTCGCGCGTCGCGCAAAAATTACAAGAACTTCAGCATTTATCAAGTAAGTGATGCGGAAGCTTTGCAAAGCGAGTGTACGGCCTGGCCTAATCCATTTCAAAACCTAAACTCAAATTGCAAAAAATTTCCGTTGAGCGTTGAGCTCCGACCACCCCCCTCCCTACGTTTGCCCCTTTGCTCCCCTTCAATCCCCTAACGTTTGCCCCTTTGTTCCCCTCCCCCCTTTGAACCCCCACCCACCAGCTGAACAACCCCCCCTCCTCCACCTGAACAACCTCCCCCCCCCCAACCTGAACACCCCCCGCCTGAACCCACAAAAACCACCCCCCACCTGATCCCACATGCCCCCCCCCCCCCCACCTGAACAACCCCCACCTGAACCCAAACCCACCTGAACACGTTACGTTGGGGGAGGGGGGGGGAGGAGGGGGTTTGTTGTAAATGGGCAAACGCTAGGGGGGTAATGTTGAGTAATGAAAAAAGTATCAAAAACATCAAAGTTAGGTAGAAAAAAATTTAACAACAAGTAACCAACGTAACCAACTTTAATTTACTTCATGTGCGTTGAAATTCGCATCTCAGTAAAGTGGAAAAAAATCGATTATAATTTAGTTTCATTGTCAGTGTCCACAAAAGTGAAAATAAATTGATTATAAAGGATGAAAAAAGGATTTAAATGCCTCGAAAAACAGTAATATTATAATCCATTTTTAATTGATTATAATCCATTTGTTTTCACTTTTGTGGACACTGACAAGGAAACTCAATAATAATCGATTTTTATTCATGGAACTCCATTGCGGGTATGAGTCGAAACTTACTTATGACTTGATTATTTAGATCTATTTAACCTCCAGAACAAAAATGGACGCGTTAGTTTTAAACCATGAGAGATCTCCACAGATATAGGGTTGACCACTGGGCCTTTTGTTGTTGTGTGTCCTCTGCTTGTTGTTATTCCTTTGCTGATCTAGAGTTGAAAGAAGACGGAAACCTAAATAGCTTTCAGAGAAGATAGACTGATATTCAGAGTTACCGCTTGAGCCCTCTCTCATATAATTGCATAGAACTTTATCTTAGTGATCAAGATCTAAGGATGAGGACGTATCCAATGGATAACTAAGATTACCTTTTCCAAGGTTCTGTCTCTTGTTGATGCTTTCCTTCTTTTCGATGATTTGATGCTCGAGTTTTTGATAGAGTAAGGTCCAGTTAGTCCAGAGTTTTGTCTGTTAGTCGCTGACTTTTTTTAACCGCCTGCTCAATCAAACCACTGTTCAAAATGGACCACGGGTTTGCTTTTGCAATCAAGTTTCATGGGATCGTAAGTTATTTTGGATTTGTAAGAAGTGTCCAAATTTCAGAAAATGTGTCCGTTAGTGGGGGTTATCTTGGTGGACTTTGAAAAAGGTCTGAAATTAGGCCTCGTTCAAGGGTCTGAAGAAAGGTTGTTCGACTTTGTTG